CTGGGGCTCTGCCAGCTTCTCCAAAGGCACTGATCAGCATACCGGAAATGTCTCCACATACTTGGCCAGCCTCAGAGAAGGCTGGAAGGACGTGAATGGGCTGTCAAAATTCCTCCTCTAAGGCCTCCAACTTTTCAACTGGCAGGGAATGCGAGAGGAGCAGGAAAATCCGTATCTCCTATGCCATCAAGGACGGCATGTGCTCTAATGTGCTGATGTCAGTGTGGAGGTTGAGCTGAAATGGAAGGCACCTCACTAAAGTTAGACCAAAACAGTGGCAAGAAATATATGAGGAGCCAGAAAGGAACTGTGACCTTGCTATCAACTGAAGGCTGATGTGAGTGCTGCACACAGTGCAATGACATGCTGAATTCATCTTTCTCAGACTCCTGGAGAATGACTTTCCCACATCCTGCTGACCCAGAGTCAGCATGTTTCTAAATCCATTTTTGATAGACCAGAGAATGGCATTTGGCTTTTTATCAGTCAATGTACCGTGGGTGGATATCTCCACTCAGTTGCGTGTGACAACTGCAAAATTCTCTTTCAGAAAGTCTCATCACCGAACGCTTTACATCATTCTAGCCTTTCTCTCCTTTTTTAATATTTTAATAGAGAAAACACATTTCAGAAAAATCCTATAAAAATACCTGAAAGCCCACAAGATTATAAAGTGCCACATCAAAGAGCAAAGATGTTGCAAACCTCACAGGACAGTCCAAACAAAACACGAAGGTCCATGTCCTACAGTGCTTGCCCAGAAGCAACTTCCAGCAAGGGAACAAGGTCAGCCTTACATCTTCTCCTTATAAACTCTTTTCTGTATGCACATCACATCCCATGTCAGTCTAGTGAACATACATTCTGTCAAGCTCCTACTTCACAATTTTCTCTCAGTATGAAGAGAGGGCAGGAAATTAACCTTGGCCTGAGGATGCCCAGAAACAGGGCCAACATCCCAAACATGTCAAACCTCATTTTATATAATACTGTGTAGGCATGTTTAGTTGGCTAATTGTGAATGCTTCCACTGAGCCCCTCTGGTGGCCTCTCTGCTCGCTAATTCAGAAACCATCTCTCTTAAATTGCTCATTTAAAAATAAAACAATATGCAGCACAGGAATTAGGACTGGAACAGTTCCAATGGAAAAAATATAGTAAAATGTGGGCACAGAGACAAGACTGCCCAGATAAACTCCCTGGTAAATCTCAAGTGATCACCATTTACAAACCACTCTTATACATGGACTTTGACAGCAAAACAAGGAGACCTGGATTGGTATGCAAACAGAATGACAGAAGAACTGGCATCACACTGCCCACTGGGGGAATCACAGTTGCTACAGATAATTAATATTTATATTACAGTAGTGTCTTGAGGAAACAGCTGAGTTACAGATAAACACAGAAAGCAATAGTGCACAGGTTTGCATATGTGTTTGTGTGTATATACAACACTTAGAACAGTGAGATTTCTCCCATCTCTGCTTGAATAGCACTCAGTGCAATGAAACCATCGTCAGACGTTGCCTCCATAGATAAAGGAAAATGTGTGTGTGCATATGTGAATTCATCCTGCCCTACAGCACTACATAATCAGGAGAGAAGGCAAACAGAGGCAAGGAAATCCTTTGCCCATGACTACTGCCAGAGCTAGGCATGTATATAAAGCAACCAAAGCTATTCTAAAGTGCTCCTGAACTTTCTGAAATTAGGATAATTTCAGTCTTCTGGTATATTGCAAAAGGAAACAACAGCTCAGCAACTTTTACTACAACAGCTTGATCTAGCTGTGTATCTTAAAACCCTGGCACCCTCAACTTCTGCGATACTATGTCCCAAACAGAGCAAAGTTTACTTCAGGGCTGAAGCAAAGCCCTGCTGGGCCTTCTGGAGCTGAAGAGAATTCAGAGGATGTTTCACAGCTACAGCATGAGGCACTGTGGCTGAACACGGACCACAAGGAGACTCACAACTGCCACATCACTCTGGGAAGTGTGTGATGGGCCCTTCCCAACAGGCCCCTCTGTCAACCTTTTACGGCACTGAAGTAAAAATTCTTGCTTATCACTGTGCTACAGTAAGATGGCTTCAGTGCAAGTGTCTTCAGGACCAAGTGGGAGAGCGGAGCTTTGAAGAGTAACCACCCCGCAATCACCGAATTCAAGTGCTGTGACAAGTTTGTTACATGCAAGTAACAAATGAGAACAAGAACACCAGCAATGCATTTCATTCTGCAAAGATTCAGTCAGATGTGAAATTACTCTCTTGCTCTCCAAAGGATGGAAGGTGCAAGTGGGGAGAGCACCATGCTGTAGAAAATTTGCATGCTACATCAGCATCTCTACATTTTGTCAAACGGAAAGCTTTTTAAACTAATATGCTTAGAAGTATTTAATTAAGACTCTAAAATAGACAGTATCTCATTTTTTTCCCCTTAAAAACTCAGTAATCCTCCCTCAAAGACCAAACAAGAAATTAATTAATGTGTTATGGACAAGGAACCTTCTTATTTCTTAGGGAACCGTGCAGTCTTTTCAGGTGAACACTAAAGATGACTTATTTTGTAAATCAAAGCAGGCAACTCCATTTCATCCAGGAAAGGTCAAGTGCAAAGCTGCCACGAAGGCCCCTTTAGTAAAATATGAACCTGCTGCTAGCAAGAGAACCAGAGGGAAGGCTCAGCTGCAATTCAGCAGACTTGGTTCTAGTCTCTTGCACTGCCTTTGCGCATGTCACATCCAACTTTCAGTCCAAATTTTCTACCCTGACTGCAGATTGTTTTTTCTGTTTTAGGATTTCAGCCCTCTCATAAAGGTACTGCTCCCAGAACATCCACCTTGTCTCTCTTCTCATAGACTATCCAGGTTGGCTCCAATGAAACCAACAACTTCAGAAAGCCAAAGCAGGGGACAAGGAAACAGCAGTACACACTTGAACTTGCGCTCCTGATAGTTGCAAAACATAGTGGAAATGTTAAAAGGCTTTCAAAGGAGCATACTCCTACAATACAGGAAAGTCAGGACAAACACCACATACTTCATGAATATTTCACCTACAATGGTGGGGCAAAAAGCCTTAATCTACTTAGCTGCTACCATTTATTTGATTTTGACAGTTCTCACTCATATGTTACATGTTCCAAGAGTATAGTTAAAACCATACTACAATATATTTAAGTTTGCACCAAAAAGACTTGAAGCATTTCAGATGATATATTTTTTTAGATTTCTTGCTGTCAGGGAGCAAAGTTTGTTAGAAACCAGTGTCTCCTCCTGCTTTGAGGAGGCAGGGGGGAAAGTATCCTTTTATCCTTCAATTTTGCTGTGGAGCAGAAGCTGTGGATCACTACCAAGGCCAAGCTGCTGTTCAACTGTTTTGTAGATGGTCTTGAAGGAATTGAAGAGAAGTATACTATGAAAAGATGGGAAAGGAGGACAGCATTACAGGAGGGGGAGTCATATGTACAAAATGCAATGTTAAAAGCAGCCTAGAGGTGTGTGTAAGACAGAGAGATGATGCTGTCTTTGCTAGTGAAGCTGGCTATTTTTTCAGCTGTGAGTGACAGCAGTGGTATGAACTGGACCTGATAGTGTGCACATGTGGATGGGAATAATGGAACTGACCTTAAAAGTGTGAAAAGGGGGAGGGTGTCAATGAAGGGATTCATGCCTGAATGTGTGTTTAAACAGGGTGGGGGGCAGAGAGAGCAGCTACACTGTGTGTTGGAGGGAAGGGAGCCTGGTGGTGGGCTGTGAGAGCTGAGAGGATGACTGCTGCACTATCGCTGTTTAGTTAGTTTCCAGAAGACAGTGATTTCCCCTACCTTCTGCAAGTACAAGACCGTTCCCTTCAGCACAGCATAAAAGGTTTTCCAGCCTCGCTTTCCCCGGGGAGCTGCAAAGAAAACAAATGAAAACCCATTTAACTTGGATCCATTTTTACAGTTTGTCTAGGCAACAGAAGAGCTACATTAGTCCTGTGTTAAATATCCTTTGTACTCTCCATTTCAAAGGACAATGCAACGCAGCACAGTGCCTGTGCATACCTGCTGAGTGAAAGTGTAATGAAACAACCCTGATGACAGCCCTGGACTGGATCAGAAGGGAACAGCAGTAATGCAGAAAGCAGGCCAGAGAGATCCAGTCTTTGTGCTCTTGCAGGCAGGCGGACACTGCCCCTACACAGTTAGGTCTGAGCTCTGCGCCATGGCAGTTTTCAGAAGGAAACACCTTTTCTCCACGCCACAGCAGTCGGGCAGGCACTGCTCAGGACCAATGGGACACTGCTCCGTAAGCAGTGCCTCGCAAAAGCATCCTTCCCCCTCGCCATTGCTGCACACCCAAGTTGGCACTGAGTGGTCAGATGGCTTCTTGGTCCCTTCCCCTCTTCCTGCAACCACAGGGGAAGTCAAAGAAGAGAAAGGAGAAGGTAGCCAAACAAAATCCTAAGGAAAAAAAAATATCACCCCTCAAGAAACCTGAAGTAAGTTAGATTGAAGGATGTAACAGAGACAACATATCCAGCCCATAAATTCATAGAAACAAGCGGGGGGGGGGGGCGGGGGGGGGGTGGGTGGGAAAGAAAGAAAAGGAAAGGAAAGAAAAGGGGATTCAGCATGAAGTTGCAGCTTGAACTTCAGCTGCCATAGAGGAACAGAAGGCACAGGCTGTATGGTCACAGTGCCAGAGACTAGAAGCCTGCACCTAGGCTCACTCTCCACCAAGCATGCACCACTGAGCAGCATCCACTTGCCTCTATACTGAAATTAATAATCTGTGCACAACTAAAGCATCACACTAGGAAAGGCATCCCATTCTGATCTGAAGACAGCAAATGATGGTGAAGAGGTTATTAGTCCCTCGCTCCAGGGGTTAATCATTCTAATTTCACATGATGGGCTTTATTTCTAATTGGTATTTGTTCAATTTAGCCTCCAGCCACTGGTCCCTGTTACATACTTCTCTAGACTGCCTAAGTGCTTTAGTTCTCAGTACACCTTTCCTGAGAATACACATATAGCATGCTAGCACATCACTTCATCAGCAATTGCACACAGGCTGATCTCTGCCCTGCAACAACTCCATTAGGGAATGAAATATGTAAAGGTCTAACTATCTTTAAAAAAAATAGTTTCATTTTATTTGCAACTGGAAAGTCAGAATATATCTTTTTTAAGAGCTGCATGACAATGAGAGACAGACCTTTAAGATGGACAGAAAATTTCTGAAAACATGGCCCTAACTACATTACTCATAAAAGGATTATCCCCAAAATGCCAGCATCTAGTGTTCTGGATAATGGGCAGTTCTGATTATTTATAATTAAAGAAATAATTTAATAAAGGTAACTAGATACGGTTACTTATTAAGGTTAAATAAATAGAAGTTTAATAAAGAGGAACCTATTCAGAGCATCCAATCATCACAAAGAATGAGGTTGGTTTGATTTCAACATCTCTGTTCAGATTTAGCTGTATGGCTGTCAGCCTCCAGCTTGAAAACACCGACCTCCAATTGTACCTTCTAAACTATACCAGCAAAACATGCGAACACCAAAGAGGCCAGCTAAGACAGAGTTGCAGTTACTCAAAATCCATCACAAAGTCAGACTTTGCCTTCAGGACACAGATCAACAGTGTGAACCATGAGTAGGTGATCACCAACAATGATCAAGGAAAACACAGATATTCTGAGTAGCCTCTGCCGTTTCCAAGATCAATAGTAAACAAATGAAGATATCCAAATAACAAAACACACACGGGCGAATCAGAAGCCTTCAATAATTAATCCACCACAAATGGAAGTAGGACAAGAAAGAAAGAGGATAGTTTAAACAAGTGACACATCAGGATTATTATAAAAAACAGGCAGGGAGGAACTGCATGGCACAAATCTGGCTGTTACCAAAAGCTGCTGAATTTCATTGGGTATGTGACCCAATGCTGGGAAAGTAGAAATGGGAATAGTTACAGCATCTTCCAAGAAGAGATAAATAACAGCCTTTCTTTAAAGACAGACCCAGAGGGGAGGGGAGATTTGAAGCAATCTAGTGTCAAATAAGGAAAAGGAAAATTACCAAACTACTATGGAACAGCTACTGTAAATCACTTGAAATTGTTTTCTCTTCTGTAAACCATGAGATTCATTTTCTTCTAGCACAAAAGATTAACATTGCTTTGCTGTATCACATTACTCATTATGCTCATGCATTAGAGCTGCTGCAAATGGGACTGAACATAGTAAATCTTGGCCTAATAGTGAGACTGTGATAATCCAATTGCTGAATTGTTTGTTACTGCTGCAATTTCCCCTAATAAAGCAGCACTATTTGCGTTGAGAGGCACATGGGCTCATCATAAGCGGCACTGTGAAGAAATAACAAGAAAGTGAGATGTTAAGAGTGAAAGATACTCACTTTTCTTTCCATCCATATCCGCATGGATTTTCCGAGCCAGAAATCCAGTTTTATACACAGCAGCATTGGTGTCATGAGGGATGTCCAGGAATGGGTTATTTGAGTTGCCAATTCGACTGACAGCCTTTGTCTGGCTTCCATTATCCTTTTCATCTGTACCATCTGAATGAGACTTTTTTTTCTCTTCTTCATCCCTTAAAAAGCAGTGAAAACCAAGCATGAACAAGGGACTGACCATCAAAGTTTCATTTCAGGAATTCTTACACGCTCCTTGTCAAAACACATCTCTCTTTGTATTTAGAGAGGTATGTTTATATTTAGGGCCTATTAAGAGAGAAACCTAAACACATACCAAAACATATTCGGATTATAGCAAATCTTCAGTTCACCTACCTTACCAGCATAGGAGCCGGATTTTCAGAAAAGCCCAAGTTGTGCTTTTACAGTTTCAAAAAGCAGGCTTTCAAGAGTGTTCTGTGTCCTCCAACTTCACCCATTTTTAATTCCACTTATTTGAGTGCTAAAACGGGAAATATTTGCCTGTTGGGCTCTCCTGAAAAATCTCCAGTTTCTTCACGAGTTCACAGGTAGATGAAAAGAATTAGATTACTACAGATCACTGTGGCTTACCCTTTAACTTAGCATACAAAACACAGACTCTACCTCTTTTTCTTTATTTTCCTCTCCATTCTAGCATAAAAGTACTAATTTAAAAATAAAAACTACACTGGGTGAATTATGTTATCTGTATTTTAGAAACAAAATGCTGCTCAAAATGTTACTTATTAGGGCAATGTATTCAACACAGCACTTGGGGACAACAATGCAACCCATTTCAGCAAGTCACAAGCATTGCCTGACTAATAAATGCCTTTTTGCTTGTCACAGTCGAAAGGAAAAATGGACCAGGCAACACTGAAAACGAAGGGTGTCCATTACAAGACTAGGATGATGATTTGCAGAGAACAGGCCACTGAATCTGGGTAGATGGCGTATCTGGCAGAACCAGAGTTAGTGTCAGATTACAGAACAGCCCTGTGTCCTCTGAAGTCCCCACACATTCCCCTCCAAGTGACTGGGAAAGGTGTTGTCAGGGAGGATGAAGGCTGTCATTGGAAAGTCATGGTAGTAATGCTTCTCCTAAGACCAGCACCTGATTAAGAAAAAAAAAATCATTATCACTTGAGTGTAATGATGGCTAATAGCAGAGGTGGACTTCAAACAGCTGCATCTCACTGGACTCAGATGATCAGCAGAGAGCAGAGAGAGCAAGCTCAAGCAGACCTTCCAGTCACATGCATACGTTTAAAGGTGTGGATCAAATGAGGATTAGCAAGGCATATATCAGTCCTAAAAGTGCCTTTTGGGGCATATTGCAACCATATCTGCTAATGGGAATGACCATCCAAAGAAATGTCCTCCAAGAACTGCAGGCTAGAATGACAATCTGTGTTATCCTGATCTCTGCTGAAACGGTCTTCTGGGGAATAACTTAGTTTGAGGAGATACAAGAATAGAGTGGTTTGACAACAAGGAAACCAAATCCAGAGGCACCGAGGCTGTATTAGTGAACTCATCAGTGCCAGGGATTGTTCCCAGGCATTTGACTTTGATCATCTCGTATGACTTTGTGCTTGGCATGGTCTTGGCCCAGCACACTCCCAAACAATTTCAAGACACTGTTTAGGAATCAGCACAGTCAGCAAGCAGTACAGATGCAAACATCTTCTTTTGGAGGGTAAGACTTTTTAATAGTATGGATACAGATGCTACACATTGACTCCCAGTCTAAGAGTCACACACCGTTGCCAGACATTTGATTTAGTTGTAGAGATACAGCCAAGGTGGTGCACCATACCTCCATGGTGTCTTGCAAGGTCTCCTTATTAAGTAGATCATAACTTTTACTTAAAGACCTGATTCCTGCAAGAGAGAGCAGTCCTTGCATCTTTAAGCCTGTTGATACATGTTTTCTCACTCCAGAACAGAGAGATCTGCAAAATGTTTTTGTTACTCAAAGCAATAGGGATTTCTTCATGCATGCTTTGGTTGAAGCCCTCTCCCAATGGAAAAAATGTAGGAATTTCTGTCAATTTTGATTGTCCCCTCCCTTCCTGTGTCTACCTCACTTCCTAGCTGCTGGCAAGTCCGAACCATTGTGTGACACATGTTTCTTAGATATGTGTCCATTCCAGGAGCAAATTCTCTCAACACAAGCCTGATGCACCTAATCCAGATGAAAATCTCTCATAGGGCACAAGCACTCAGGCTGATTTGTCACACAGAAATGCCTTGTGAATTCTGGGATCTTAGCCAAGGACACAGTGGATTCCTCCTTGTCAGCAGAGACCTACTGCAGTAAATGCTTAGCATTTTTTTGGAATAAGCTATCTGCTTTGGAGCTATGGGAGTGAATTATCTTATATTGATCAACTGTTCTGTGGGAATGTACCAAGCAGCCACAGGTGTTGTGATGAGCAATCCTGGGGATCCTGGACACCTCTCAAACTCAGCAGCTCTGAGGCAGCTTATTAAACAGAAATTCTTCAAAAGACAAATGCAGACAGGGCAGACAAGGACAAAATGGCATCTGCTGTCATGACTGCTAGTGGCATTGAACAAACCTTTAATTGGTCCTTTAATCTGTCACTGAAAATGGGACATCCTTGAGACTCAGAAGCCTGAAGCACTTGTTAAAGCTGAATGTTCTGACAAGATGCATGAGGTCAAGATGCACAAGCCAGTCTGTGAGACGCAGTGAAGGGAACCAGAGAGGCAAGGGGGACACTCATTACAGAGAATGAGAAATGGATGAACAGCTGAGAAAATAGAACTATAAGGAGCCTCTATCTTCCTCTGATCTTGAGTATGAAACACCAGTGGAAATAAAGCCAAGGGATCTAAAACTCACTTCATCAAATACTCCGTGTTGCTTCAGTGGTCAAGCATAAGAAGAAAGCAGGATAATTGGAGGGGTTTCAAAGTAGCAAAACAGTTCAGCTATTAGTCATTGCTACATACCCTCCAAAATTGGCTGAATAGATACATCTTGGTAACAATTTGAGCTACTCCTCACCAGCCTTTAGGATATGGTTCTCAGAAGAAAGAGCTGCAGAAAAACCAGCTGGCCCCTGTACACATACACCTGAAAACTGGTCTTTCTTTGCAACTCTAGCCTGTGGGAGGTGCAACTACTTCCTCATCCTCAGACAGCTCTCACAGATGATTCAACTCCTGTAGCATCCCCAGCATGAAGGCCTCCAGTGATGTGGGGGTAAGAGTCAGTGGGTGGTGTCTCTGTGCAGGTCTATTCAGTCATGGATCTAGTGTCAAACAGGCAGACCTTAAGTCCTTGTCATGGTCAGGCTTGGTGCCTCTCCATTTGGTACAGAAAATAGCACAATCTTTCTGACTTTGGGAGAGAAAAAAACATGTTGATTCCAACACACCTTTTAGTAGCAAAACATCATAATGAGTGTCCACTTAGTTTTGCCGAAATCTTAAGAGATTTTCTGTCTTTGATCTGCAGAGGGAGATCATTTCTGGCTCTGGAAGCAATTCCTTTGGTGACCCCTCTCTGATGACTGAAAGATGCCAATGGCTGTGAACCCTCTTGTAAGAGGGATGGATGTAAAGTGGGACGTACTAGTGTCTCTGCTCTGCAGGGTACTGGAGATAGAGCAGCAACCAGGACACTGGCTGCCCATGAGAACCAGCACACCAAAACCAGGATCCGTTTGCTCTATCACTTGAAGACACAGCACTGAAACAGCAATGTTTTCTTTCCCAAATGCATGATCACTAACAACCAGAAAGAGTTTGCCTCTTATTCTTAAACATGCAGATTTGAAAAACAAGCAAAAATGCAGATGTTGCCATTTTGGTGAAGAAATATATTTTCGCATCTCCCCTAAAAGACCCTACAGAAGAAAGTACCATCTTTGTCTTCTGGGAGAAAACTACCATCTGTTTGTCTCAGTACCAGAGTACACTCTATGGTCTGATTTGAGGCTCTACCTTGGAAAACTCTGAAGTCAGTAAGCTGGAAAGACATGGTCGAGCCCTTCATTTATAAAAGTCTGCTTCATCTCTGCATTTGTTCAAATAGAAAACTTACATGACATGGCAAAAGGCTGGGTTTATCCACTTTAAAAAAGGCATTTAAAAAATATTCAGATTTGTAACATATAATTATATGAATCTGTGGAACTGACAGTATCTGTATTAGGAAATTAACTTGAGAAACCAGTGGACAGAAGTTTCAGCATCCTTCCCAAAGGGAGAAGAGAAGAAAGGAAAGCTAGGTGATTACCACCTTACCCCTCTCTAAAACCAACCATGAAGTTGCAAACAGGAAACATCCTAGAATTTGGGAGATGAGAAGTTAATTATAATGGGCAGAGATTTCTTGTTTTGACCTAGAAAAAGGTGAGCTTCAGCACAGATGTCTTTATAGCCACTCTGGACTCAGTGTCACAGTTTGCCGCAGGAAACACAGGAAGGTTTTGGCAGCAGCCCTTTTCCACCATCACTGCCTCAAAGACCTATTTTGGTTTCGTTGGAAAGAGGTAATTTTTCAGTGCAGTCTGGAAAAACAAAAAAGAATATACCATGTCCATGTCTAAACTTATCCGTAAAGAAAACTATATCATTAACTAGTCAAAAAACAAGTGATTCTCCTGAAAACTACACTGTCCTGCTGAGAGAAAGCTTTCAGGATACAACTGGCTCAAATGCAACCATTTGGTTTTTGCAATTTTGTAAGAAGCGCTTTGGGATTTCGTATGTTAATTGTAGATCACCATTCAGCCTATTTTGAGATGATTTCATTATTCCTATCATCTTCAACAGCAAGTAGACATAATATTACAACAACAATGTTCACCACCATGTTTCCATGTAGACATTATACTAACAAAACATACTTAGCTCTGCTGCCTTTGAAATCAAATTAATTTTTCTTCTTCAGCTTAAAGCTGATGACAATCAGTGAAAAGTCAAAGGATGAGAAACATCTAAAAAACCTGGGCCATAATATTACAGACAAAGGGACTGTGGGATATTAACAGGTCAACTAATCCATTTTTTTACCTCTAAGGCTGGATCCGCTTTTCCTAACTCATTCTGGACAAAATGACCAGTTCACAAAAAGCTCTAGTGAAAGCACTTCCGCAGCTTGTCCAAGCAAATGTATGTCCTGGTTTAAAAAGCTTATTGATAGAAAGCTTTTTTTTTAATGTTGAACCCAAACTCCCCTTGTTTCAAATTTAAGCCCATCTACAATGGGTGTGAAGAATAATTCACACCCTTCTCTGAAACAGCCTTTACACACTGGAAAAAATACACTCAGGTCCCCCTCCTCAGTGCTCCCTTTTCCAACTAAACAAACCCAACTCTTAATCTCACCACTCATGTTCACAGGATCTTGAGTTCATTTCACCTTATGGGTAATGTCAGGGTTGAAGAACAAGTGTTTATCACTCAACTACGAAAAAATCTCCTGGAAATACGAAGTCCTTTAGGGAAATTTAAGCATCATGAGAAATTATGACACAATTGTCATGGCTACATGCACTCCTGGGGTGGTTTCAGTGTCCTCAGCACACTGAAAACAGTATGCATTGGACTAACTGGATGAAACAGTCCGTGGCTTCATTGCAGTCAGTAGGAACTTTTATCAGTGACTTCAGTGGGGCCTGATCACTGATCAGTACTTCTCTTGCTGTTCAACGAAATGAACCACAGTCCAACATACAGGAAACAACTAGAACTGTAAGCAGTAGAGAGGAAATATGGAATGGGACACAAGACAGAATAATTGTATTTCTGATGGTTAGTTTTCCCATACTGCTTTTCTCCCAGGACACTGAACAACAAGGCAGGCAAGAGGAAATGGCAAACAAAGTAAATGGCAAGCCAAGTAAATGGCAGAATGTGTTCTGGCAGTTCTATTGTGAAAAGTTACCAAAAGATTTGGAGGGTGCAGTGCAGAGTAGGAGTGTGCATTCAGGATCCCACATTGACCAGTTCAGGGTAAATTCCAGGTCAGGTCTGTTTCTTTTACAACTCACAGTATGTGATTCACTTTTAACCTTTTGGAGAACTTGAACCTGGAATTACTGCAGAGAAAGAACTGTAATGCAATTCTCTCTTCCAGAGCTGTACTCATGCTTCTCTGTTCATAAAGGATAAATGAATACTACTGCGAGACTACTGAAAAGTCTCTGGAACACATGTGCTGATTAAGGTGCCACTTCTCTTTACCACAAAATTGGAATCAATGGCAGCCTTTTTTCTTTCTGTGGACTTTGGATCAGACTATAATTCTATTGGAAATGGACAGCAAACCATTTAGGATGATGACACACCTAGCTCACAACTAGTAAGATAAGGATTATGTAGCAGTCTTCCCCCACCTTACAAATCACTGATACTCTCTCCTGCCTATGGACTTATTGCTAGTCATTAATCCACCAAATAATGTACTGCCAAAGCAGCTCTTAAACTGTCACTTAGCTCATAAAAATAACGTCTTAGATCCTCAAAGGGTTTCTGGCTGGTTGAAAAGCATTCCTTCAACATGCCAGCATCACAAGGGAGCTTATGCTGAGTTCTGCAGCCCTATTTCCACCTCTGCCCTAGCTCCCACTTCTTCCCCTGCCAGCTGCATCCGGGAAGCAAAGGGGTACTCCCTGGAAAGGAGAGTGAATCTTCCCCAGTCCCCTCATGGCAAAACTGACCATGTCCCCTTTTCACCCTTCTCTGAAGACCACAACAGCAGAGCAAGAGATTGATGTGCCTCCTCCTTCTAGCTCAGGCAGTCCTGGCGCTCCTTGGGGCGATTACTTACACCAGGCACACATCTCTGTCAAAGTGAGGAGAGACATTTTCATACTCCCTCTTCCAGACAGCACTCTCAGCCCAAAAAGTAAAGGCACAACCTCTTTGACTATGCCCAGAATGAGCTTTGTTTCTCAGCATGGAAAGTAATTGTCATATCAGTCCCAGTCACCTGTCAGCTATACCAGTTTCAGACTGGAATGGACCATTGGCTCCTTTGAGCATTTTGCTAGGACAAGGTGGCTTTACACCCAGATCCCAAAGCCTCATTTAAGGAGGATTCTGGTTTCTTCCTCTTCCAGCCTGCTTGCAATTTTTCCCCAAACAGTTCATTAGCAAGGGACATAGACTGGACTATGTAAATGCTGAAGCAGTTACTACCTGTATAGGAGCAAACTATTTCATAAATCACCTTGACTGTAACTCATGGGAGCAGAGCCAGCCATGAGCCAGCCCCACCCCCCCCCAGGAGGCTGCCCAAGTGTATTAGACAAGGTATGGTCTCTTGGCAAGAGCTAGAAGAAAATTCTGACATCAAGAAAGTCACATAATGGATTCTGCTACGTCTGAAGTACTTGTGAGAGAGCATCTTGCAAACAGGTCTGGTGTTGTGACACGTAAGATTAACACAACATATTCCAGGTCCAAGACACAGTCTGGGACCCACTGTGCTTCTTATGAGGCTTATTAGAGATGGTATTGGTGATTCCTCTGAGCAGTGCACCTTCCTCACTACTCTGACATTATCTAACAGACTTCTGAACTGGGGCTGCAATCCCAGTTGGGACCAGCAGCCCTTGTAAATGAGGTTGCACACCCTGACAAGAAATTTATTTGCAGATGATGAACTTAAAACAAGCAAGACCAGAAGCCAATGGGCTTGCAAGACCTGTAGCAGTTGTTAGGACTTCTGGAACAAAAGGTTCAGGAGCAGGCATCCCAAACATATGTTATTCTCAAGAAGGTGAGGTTCAGATATGTAAATCCATGCAGATAAACATCTTGTACAGCCAAAATAGATAAAAGACATCATTCTTTTATTTTACAGCAAAATCTAAAGCAGACGCTTCTGCTCTTTGCTGGCATACCTTGACCACATGAAAACTAAGCACAGAGAAATGTCAATTTAACACAATCAGAAATTGAAGCTCTTTCTTTTCTGCAGTATTTCCATAGTTAACTAGTGTTAGCCTGTTGAAAGCAGCTAAGGACAGGGGGATATCAGACTTTGTCCAATTTATCATCTTTCATATTAAGTTGTTGTCAAGTTATCCATAGTTCATCAGGAGACAAAGCAAGACAATAAATCAACAGCAGGAAACTCAATCCAAGATGTGTGTTTCTATTCTGACACAATGTACTGAAAGATAAAGGGAGAAGTCAACTTCTGTTTTATTTATGCAGTCATAGAACAATGGAGGATTTAATTTCTCTCTTTACAGGCTGAAGTTTCCTACTAAACCAAACAGACTCTTTCCTTACAAATGCAGTTGGCTCCTATCATTAACAACTCCTCTTGCTGGAGAAACAGATGAGGCGGTATTGCCAGGTCATTCATTAACAGAAAAACAAACTCATTACATATACTGGCTATCTTCTACAGGCTTTGGAGCCCACTCAGACAGTGACATAGAACATATAAACAGCTTACTACATAGGTACTATTTTTAAACTCCTAATTTCTACACAGTATACTTACACTGCCCATTCCAGCTTCTCATTCTTGATTGAATTGTAGAGGGCCTGCAAAGGGAGGGAAAAGAGATGGGATTATTGTTTGACTCCTGCTACACACACATTAATATGCTGAGGAAAATTACCTAATTTATACCAGCAAGTGAGCTGTCAAGGATGGTAACACAAAAGTCTTGAGCAGAAATCTCATCTAAGGAAAAAATATCAGAATGTAGGGTTTGGGATTACAGTAATTTTCTCAAACAGGTTTTTGAATTTTGTGATTTCTGTTAAATTTGCAAAAGCTACAAGACTGCAGCCTTGAAATCGAAGGTCCAATTTAATTCCTGATCATCGGTGCAATCGTTTTGTCACTGACTTTAATGGGGCCAAGATTTCACTATATGGGCTTACCTTTAAAACTATGCCAGAATAGCCACCCAAAGCCCGTTAGCCTCACAGACACCTGAAATGCTTTCCCAGTTATATACCCAAACATAAACACGTTCTGTTTCTAAGTGCAAAACAGAAGATGAACAATAAGCAGCTTTTGTGCTTGAAGATCAATGTCTTGGACTGCTGCCTGCTAACATCATTACACTTTCAAGCCATAGGAAAGATGCCAGTAGGTTTGACACCAAAGGTCACAATTCTGTTGTTGATACCAGCCTGCAAAGAAAAGGGTCTGGAGTCTGACTTAAGCCCGGGTGAATGTCAGACAGTTGGGACAGATGTCTTTTGAGAGGGAGTAGGTACATCACTTGGATAAGTGTGTCTGATTTCAGGACTCCAGTAGCATGCATACAATGGATAAATGCCTGCTATTACTACAAGCTAATGGAGTTCTTCAAATAGGCCACTTCACTCAAGTGAAGTATTTTGGTATGGAATGTCCCTGATTCTCGCACTTATAATCCACATTTGTAATTTACCTTATATACATAGCTAGATTTACTCCCGCTGGCACATAACTCCTACACAGCCTCAAAATATGTTAACGTGTAGAAGAACTGTTGATGCACATGATTATCAAAAAGTAGCACATCAAGTATGAACAAGCCTGAAAATCACATACTATAATAGCTATAACACACTCAACAGAAACATTAGCATTTAAATAGCCTTAACTCTGACCCAAAACAAAAATAATTTGGAAAACTGAGGAGTTGAAACTAGTCTTGTGCATATGCCACAGCTGAACTTGCAACGAGAATCCCATGAGCATATTCCACTGCTCATCCAGTGATCCACTGGCTCCTTTCCGAATCTTACACGGTCTATTTGAAGATCCTTAATATTCAGATCTTTGAAAATCTGGGTCAATTAAACCATACACAAGGAAGTCAAACATACTGGTACAACTCACCTCATGCCGATGCTACACATGCAACAACTTTTAGTTACAGTGTACCATAAAAGTAGGCTTCTCAGAACAGATACAACCGCCCGGAGGAATTGTCCCACATCCTACCCATACTGAGCTGGCAGAGAGAGGTCCCCACCACAAAACAGGGCTTTGCTGTGCTACTCACAGCAATATGATGAAATATTTCCAATTCTGGAGTTTTCACTGTCTATTTCTATATATCCCATCTTCTCCAAACTTGTATAAGGAGCTCTGATCCATAGGCAAACAGCCCAAGGTGAAGAAAAGTGCATTGCTGGAAGTTTATAGGCACTCTCCTTAATTTTCAGGTGAGAGCTATCACGAGATTTTAAGACCACCCTTCAGGAAGAAGGCAAAAGAAAGGGCTAATATTTCTACCACCACACAACCAGCAGTACAGCAGAATTAGACACACCTCCATTTTTCTGCAGATGATGAGGCTGACACTGATTCCCTGGGGTCACCCAATATTTTCTATTAGGAGCCACTATGTTTCTAAGGATTTGGCCAAAGCCCCCCTCTTATTCTTTGACTTGTCCTTTTCATCCTACGATTCAAATATTCTCTTACATTCTGAGCCAGAAAACTACTTCCAAATATAAAGCAAAGAGGCTGCATTTTCTCCTCCAGCTGCCTCCCCATTTTTCCAGAAGCAGTGTTTTTTTCTCCAGCTGGTTGGATGAGCTTTTGAAACATAGCAAAAACCCAGACTGCGGTATCAGAAATGCCTTTTGCTGCTCTCTGGCCCAAATGCTTACAAGATTGGGTCATGACCTCTGAAAATGAACATTAGCCCTGTGCAGTACTGCTTTTAATGGGACTCTGCTGCTAAGGAAGCCTCTAGGGATCACTATAGCCAAAGAGCAGGACACACAAAAGCAGCACTCCAGATTGGTACTGGAACAACAAATGCCCCAGGCTTTTGCCTTGTGGAAAGAGACATGTGTTTGTCCTGATCTTTACTAATGAGCCAGACTCCATCTTCCTTCTTTAGGGAGTAACAGATACCAACTCAGTCGTATGGCATACATCTGACAAAGGATACAGTGTCCCCCACAGAGCATCAAATATAGCCTCTTGGAAAGTCTCTGCTATTTGCAAAAGCAAAAGAAAACCCAAGAGAGTATCCACAGTGCAGGCAGATGTACACAGGACATGCTTGATAGACACACCGAACATGTTCAGTGAGTCCTCAGTGAGAAGACCTCTCAAGGGATGAAGGTACTTGGGTTCTCATGCCTGGCTCCTGACCCACCTCTGTCAGAGACTGCTGCCAGGCTGTGCACTCGCCACTAGACTCACCAGCCTTTTAGAGCTTCTTGATGTTCATTCTCCAAAGCAATTTACGCTTTAACATTTTCCTGATGTCTCCTGGGCTCTCGCATGATCTGGAGAAGAAAGATTTCCTCCTCCCATGTTTTGCAACCAGTAGCAGACATGTACAGCCCAGCACCTGCTCTATCACTTATTTCATGGCTGTTTCGCAAGGCCCTGATTCATAGAGCAGCTCTTGTCAGCAGACATTTCTCCAGAGTATGATTAAACCAAACAAACTTGGAGACAAGCACTTAAATGCTTCACTAAATTGCAACAAAGCTGATCAGAGATTATGGGAGGGACATGACTTTCACCATACTAAACTAGCTGCAAGGACAGGCTTTATTAACTCATGTTTTCTCTCTGGGAAATGGGAGGAAAAAAAAAAAAAAAAGATCTGATTTAAAGCACTCTTACAGTTTGGCAACAGTCACGGCTTCTTACCTGTTAGCCTGGGAAGTGCTTGGCAAATTTGCTATCTAAGCCAGAAAACTGGAGGCTGGACCACACTGGGGCATGCCAGAAAGAATAAGGCATGGGTCTCATCTTCCAAGCTGGACCAGTATCAGTGGGAAAGGGGAGACACCTTCTATCTCTTTTGGCACCTAAGGCTACTGTAGGCAGAATCCAAAGCCCCTGCTACTGACTACTCAGCAGTGTCTGACTTCACAGCTTCAACTCTTAAGATCTATTACTCAGACCACAAAAGCCTACTTCTTGCAGCTTTCCTCTTTCTGAGAATTTCCTGATCTCTGAGCCCACCACACATGAGGCCCAGCACTGCTCTAAGATCCCTTGAGAAACAAATGCAGTTTTGAAGGGAGAATAAAAGAAATTAACTGCTGCATAAAATAGAATAGCAGGCAACATCATAGACACCTTATTTTGTCTCCAATGCTGTTTCCTACAGCTCCACTTTGACCCTTAGCAGACTACAGTGTAAAAAAACAATGGGATTTGTTATGTGTTTGTGTGATTTGTTTGTATTTGTTCATAACTAGGCAAGAAACTTACACTTTCTTTTTTAAGTGGAAACCTGTAACTCTGTAATAAGCTACTGAATCCCACCCTTATTTTCCCTTTGGTAAGCAGGTACGTCAACTAAAAATCCAGATTTTCACAAGCTCTCACCAGTTGGTACTTCTATTCCAATTGGAAAGAGAAGCAAAACTATGCAAGGAGTGCCTCTAAAAATTTCTGCTTATTTTACAAAGCTTCCAAGAAAAAAAGGCCACTCACCACCCTCACCTCCCTCAAAACCCTGTCACATGCACAAACCATTGGACCCATTTAAACAGGCTGCTCTCTGAGCCTGCTGCCTATGCTGTGAGTCAGCCTCTGCATGAAGAAGCAGTGAACAAAAGAAAGGAACAACCAGGTGTGTACAGGGGGACAAATACGTAACAAATTACCCAGATATTCATCCTGGTAAATCATCTAGGTAACAAGTTGGCACAGGGTCCTCAAAGCCTGGCCAGCTGAGTGCAAGGTGTTTAAGAGGTCTTGGGGCACTATGAGAACCCTTCCCTCGAAAGGCAACATCGGGCTGGCTCTTGAAGCAGATTACTGACTTTCTGTACACACTAGCCCATTCACAAAAGCCTGCCAAGAGGGAAAGGAATACACTGCAGGTATTTCTTATACCTGCTCCATGCACAAAGGAGAAGGAGCCAGAAATACCTGCCATGAGCAGGTAAACAGGCAAAACCAAAACAGGTCAGAGAGCCAGCAGCAATGACCCAGTCTGCCTTCTCCAGCTTTTGTTTCCCAGGCTCTCTGCTCACACTCAGTTACACCCTGATTTCTGGAGTTGTCACTGGGGGAATGACCATCTGACCACTACAGGAGATACCCCAGGTGGCTTTTGCAGCCTCCAGGACAGATGCACTGTGGTCTCTGACCCAGGCTGCTGCCACACTCCCATTGCAGCCACTGTCAGAAGCAGCCCTGACTAGGGACATTTCTTCTTCACCTTTAGCTGGTAGCAGCATGGCAGATCCCAGGCAGTCAAGGAAGCCCCAGTCACATCTCTGGGCAAAGAAATGCTTAGTTTTTGCGGTCAGCAATGCTCAGTCAGAAGCTCAGCACATCCCCTAGTCATTTAGCACCAGTCTATCAGCTCTGTCCCTAGGACCACAGCAGTCAGCCATGCACCAGCCCCAGCTCCCACCATACGTTGTTTATTGGAGGGAGTTAAAACAAGAGTAGCAGAACCCTACAAAAATAAAACAGGTTACAGAGACAACAGATACCAGACATCACAGGTGTCTGCATGCAGTTCTGACAGGTGTTAACATGCCCATCCCTCGGACCAGGGTGTGTCTCTGTGTCATCGTCTTCTGCCAGGTTTGGATGTGGTGCAACA